TGGTCTCTACAATTTTTTCCTCCCACATCTCCATGTTACTAACTCGAATAGTTGGAGCACATAAAGCTCTAAAAAAATTGCTAACATCAGTTAAAGGACCCCAAACTGCATCTATAAGATGATCACGAAAAGCAATTGGCAAGAGACGCTGCATAAATACATGACAATCATGACTTTTCATTCCAGACAATCGAAAATCATGCATTTTCACACAGCGTGCTATGTTGGATGCATACCCATCTGGGAATCTCAAATCCTTCAACCACTGACAAACAAGAGCTCGTTGCTCTCGAGTAAGAACATATTTAGCATTGGGTTTAAAAGCCGTTCCATCATGTTGAGGGATCAATTCCAATTCAGGTCTATTGCAATACAAGTGCAAATCCATTCTAGCATTTGTATTATCCTTCGTACAACCCTTGTCATCCATAACAGTATTCTTAATATTATCAAAGAAATTTTTTCCACAATGCATAACATCAAGATTATGACGAATTAATAAATCCTTCCAATATGGCAGTTCCCAAAATATACTACGTTGTCCATAATTCATTAAGTTCATCAATTAATGGCCTAAGCAGCACATCAATATTTTTTCCTGGACTTTTAGGTCCAGCAATTATCATGGACAAAAATATATGCTCTGAATTCATGCACAATTCAGGTGGAAGGTTATAGACTGTAAGGAAAACAGGCCAACAAGAGTAAGTTGATCCAGAAGGGCCAAATGGATTGAAACCATCAGTGCACAACCCAAGTCTAACATTTCTAGGTTCTTCAGCAAATGTTGGGTAAGTTTTATCAAAGTGCTTCCATGCTTGACTACTTGCAGGGTGAATAACTTCATCAGAATCATCACTACATTTCAAATGCCATGTCATATGTTCCGCCGTTTTCTTAGACATGTATAACCGCTGCAATCTAGGGGTAATTGGAAGATACCACAAAGATTTTCTCGGAATTGCTTTCTGCCTCACTACAGCCATGTTCCTCGGCTCATACCGAGATTCTCCACACACCGGACAAGCATTTAAATTCTTGCTTTGCTCACCATAGTACAAGAAACAATCATTGATGCAAACATCAATTTTCTTGTACCCAAGTCCGAGCACATTGATCATTTTTTTAGCACTATAAAAATCTTTTGGCACCTTTTCTTGATCTTCTACACTTAACAATTTTCGACTCAATACTAATGCCATCTCCCAATTAGCAGCACTCATATTATAAAGAGTCTTCATGTTTAACATTTCTGCTATCCATGAAAGAACAGTCACATTCTGTTCCCCATTACTTATATAAACTTCTGCAGCATGCAAAAGTTCATAAAATTTTCT